TATATATATATATATATATACACACACAGTATCATTTGGTCAGTTTCATTCCATTATTCTTCCCTTTTCCTGTCCCTCCACTCAATTTCATTCCTATTCTCCATTGATCTCTTTTCTATTTTCAAGGATTATGCCCTAGTTTTGTGCTTTATTTCAGTCTAATTTTGTTGGGAACCCTTTTATTTCTGCTTCAGTTGCAGTTCTAATCAGATTTTTTTTCTCCTACGGACAAAAGAGGAGGAAAAGTTTATTTGGGTTACACAGGTCTTAGTTCAGAGATAGCTGACTTTGTTGCTCTATACCAGAGGTGAGGTAGAACATTGTAGAAAGAGGGTTTAAAGGAGGAAAACAGTTCAGGACATGACCACCAGGAAGCAGAAAGAGAGTGCTCTCCTCACTAGGAACAAAATATAAACCCCCAAGGCATACCATCAGTAGCCCAGCTACTCCAGCTACACCCTACCTGCCTAGAGTTACCACCCAGATAATCCATATCAGTGTACTTATTGGGTTAAGAATATCATAGTACAATCATTTTGCTTCTAATCTTTCCTAAATTTTATCACACATGAGCTTTTGAGGGACACTGCATATCTAAATCAAAACAGGTACATTCTTTGTTATTGGTCTTTTAAAGTTTGCTTTCCCTAATTTGTTAAATTTCCTGTAGTTCGTGTATTTCTATGAATTTATCAATTTCTTCTTTTCTATGTTTTCTAATTTTTTTACACATACAGAACAGTATTTAAGAATTTGGTAATTTTTATTATACATACATGGAGTGCAATCCATTTCAATTTTGATCTCATTCCTGTGGTTGTACATGATGTGGAGTTACACTGGTCATGTATTCATATAGAAGCATAGGAAATATGTCTGATTCATTCTACTGTCTTGCCTATTCCCATCCCCCTCCATTGCATTCATTCCCCTTTATCTAATCCAATGAACCTCTATACTTCTTCTCCCTACCTTCTCTTGTTGTATGTTAGCATCCACTTATCAGAGAGAAAATTTGGTCTTTTGATTTTGAGTATTGGCTTATTTCACTTAGCATGATAGTCTCCAGTTCCATCCAATCACCAGCAAATGCCATAATTTCATTCTTCTTTATGGCTGGGTAATATTCCATTGTGTGTGTGTGTGTGTGTATATATATATATATATATATATATATATATCACAATTTCTTTATCCTTTTATCCATTAAAGATCACCTATATTGGTTCCATAGCTCAGCTATTGGGAATTGAGTTTCTATAAACATTGATGATGCTGAGTCACTGTAGTATGCTGATTTTAAATCTTTTGGGTATAAGCCAAAGAGTAGAAAGCCTAGGTCAAATGGTGGTTCCATTTCAAGTTTTGCAAGGAATCTCCATACTGCTTTCCAAAGTGGTTGCATCAATTTGGACTATCACCAGTAATTTATGTGTTCACCTTTCCCCCCATATCCTCGCCAACATTTATTGTTACTTTTATTCTTGATAATTGCCATTCTAACTGGAGTGTGATGGAATATCAGTGTAATTTTAATATCATTTTTTTCTGATTTCGTGAGATGTTCAACATTGTTTCATATATTTTTGACCATTTGTATTTCTTCTGTATCTTCCAATTTATTGGAGTATAAGTTTTCATATAAGTCATCAATTATCCTTTGAGTTTCAGTGGTGTCAATATTGATATTTTCTTTTTAAACTCTGACTTTATTAATTAGTGTCTTCTTATTCTCTTAATTAAGTTAGCTAAGATTTTTCAAAGAGCCCAATCTTTGTTTCATTAATCCTTTGTATTTTTCTTTTATTCTCTATTTCATTAATTTTATTCTTGAATTTATTATTTCTTTCCTCCTTCTAGTTTTGAGATTTGTTTCCTCTTGTTTTTCTATGCAGATGCAGCATTAGGTTAATTAAAATTTTTCTGATTTTTCTGATTATTTAGGAACTTATAACTACAAACTTTCCTTTTAAAAATTCTTTCCTTATCTCCCATAAATTCTGTATGTTTTCTTTCTATTTTTTTTTATTCTAAAATTTTTAATTTTCTCTCTCAATTTCTTCCATAATTCAGCAGTGCAATATTCAATCTTCATATGTTTGTTATCTGTAATTTTTCTTTCTTTTGAATTATAATCTCATTGCATTATGATCCAATAATTTACAAGTAATTACTTCTTTTTTTTTCCTTTTTTTATTTTCTGAGATTTGGTTTGTGGCCCACCAATGAAAGCCCCATTAACAGCTGAAAAGACAGTGTATTGCATTTTTGTTTAATAAAATATTCTGTAGATGTCTGTCCATTTGAAATAAGGAATAGTTAAGCTCTGTAATGTCTTTGTTGATTTTCTATCTAAATAGAAATGAGAGTGGTGTTTTTGAAATCAGCCACTATTATTGTATCAGTGCTCATCTGTCCCTTTATGTGAAGCAATGTATGTTTTATGAAATTGGGCACATTGTCATTTAGATTAAAAATATTTACAATGATTTTTTTGGGGGGTCTTGTCTTTTCTAATGTGTTGAACCATCTTTGTCTCTTATTAATTTTGGCATGAAGTCTACTTCATCAGGCCTGGGAATAACCACTCTTGCTTTCAGGTTCTGTTTGCATGGAATTTAATTTTTTCTTCTTTCATTTTCACATTATAGGTTTGTTCATAAATAAAATGGGTTCCTTGCAGAAAACACAATTAGTTCTTGCTTTTCACACAATTTATCAATGTATATCTTTACTTGTATAATTATGTCCATTTAAATTGTGTTATTATAGAAAAGTATGAATTATTTTCTGTAATTTTGTAGTATTTCTTATGTTTATTTGTTCCTAATTCTCATTGGCTGGTATACTCTTCTAATAAGATTTATTTTCCCTTGATCTCTGTGTTAGTTTTTTAAGCTTCTTCTATTTTTAGGATTCCTTTGAATATCTTCTGCAATGCTGAGTTTACTGTCAGGGAAAACCACTATTTGATTAGAAAAGAGACTGATGAGCTAGCATGAGAGGAAAATGGAAAGTGGAAAAGAGACCCACTTTTAAAAATGCCTAATTGTTTAAGCATTCTTCCTGGGAAATCAGAAATCCTGTGTTTTTTCTTTTTTCTTTTCTTTTTCTTCTTACAGTATGTGTGTCTGTGTTTGTCTGTGTTAAAGACCTATGAACATCAGTGGATATCAATGCTTTAATTTTCATTGGGTTAGATGGTGCGCACACCATGAGACAATATGGGTTTAACAGTGAGTCTGTGGCAAAGACTTGTGAGAAGCTCTGGACAGTGATTTGAGGTATAACTGTTGGTCTGTTGGCTAGTGAATCAAAGGAAGAAGATACTTTATTTTAAAATCAGCAGTCTAAAATCTGTTACAAGCAAGAAACAACATTGGTATGGCATGGAGGCATGGAGGCATGGAAATGGTATGGGTCTAGGTTTGGTTGAAAGGTGCTGGCCCAAGCATTCTGCTACACTGAAGCCCCCTCTTGCCTGGCTACAACCCCCATACCAGAGATGTTTTGGGCATCTTGTGCCCTGACCTGGGCACTTCACATACCCCATTGCTTATTTCTTTGTAGCCATAAATTGGATTTAAGACTAGGTGATCTTCAAACAGCTGTCAGAATGGATTTATGAAGCTGAGGTCAATAATCTTAATCCTAAATCAATAGTCTAACTCTGATCCAGGCAGAGTATTTTAGCATGATTAGGGCATTTGTATAACACCTCCACATAGATTATTTCATCTTTATTTAATAATCTAATGAGGAATTCAAAATAAATGAAATCTTAGGCCCAAAGAATTTCATAGACTTTCTCAGAGTCACAAATCAATGTGACAAAGCCAAGAATAGAAACACAGCTACTCTTCAGACTCTATATTGAATCTCGATATAGTTTTAATTTGCATTTCTTTAAGTGCTAGAGATGTTGAATTTTTAAAATATATTTGTTGAGCATTCATATTTCTTCTTCTGTGAAGTGTCTGTTTAGTTCCTTTGCCAATTTATTGATCGTTTTTTATGTTAAGTTTTGAATTCATTATATATCTTGGAAAGTAATGCTGTATCTGAAGTACAGTTGGCAAAGATTTTTCTTTCATTCTGTAGGCTCTCTCTTCATGCTCTTGAAAAAATATTTAAAAAATAGAAACTACTGATAAAATTTTAAAAAGACTCCATATTGACTATTTGCTGACTGAGAAGCTCTGTCAATATTTAAGCTAAGCTACCATAATTAAAATGTCCCCAAATATGGGGGGTCAAAAGGAGAGATATTTCTTTATCACACTACATTTCACCAATATGGGTTATTTCACAGTTGAAAAGCACTCAGGTTTTGGAGTTTGTACAGGAACCCTGTTTCCTTCTATATTAATTTTTCACAATCTCCTAGACACTAGGAGTTTGTTCTTATAAACATGGTTTAAATTGGCTCACCAGTATATCTGCATAAAAGTCTGAAAAAATAGGAAGAATGGAAGTGAAGGACTAGCAATTTTGTTTTAGAAAATGACACTGAAGTTACATGCATCACTTCTTATAATTGGTTGTCCAGAATATAATAACAGAGCCACATTTAGGTAAATAGAAAGCTAAGAAATAATCTTTAACTGGGTAGATATGTTCATAGATATCTATTTAAGTTAGGGATGGTTATATACTAGTAAAAATAAGAAGAGTAGTCTGAATTATTATAGCCTTTTAGATACCTGATTCAATGTGCCAGAGAGTATACTAATACTTTTATCCTTTTTCTCTCAAGGATACAGGAGACTATGAAACTGTTCTTAATTGGGATAAAACCAAAAGCCAGAAGTGCCTGGAAACCCATGCCTGGCCACATGGCATCACAGCCTTACTGTAAGTACACTACTTGGGGATACAGTTTCAAGAACAGATGAACACCTCTGATTTAAACACACATTAGTGAAAGATGCATTGCCTAGGAGATAATTTTCCCTCTCACAGGCATAAAGAATATGGCATATTGAGTAGTGAGAAAGACACCTTTCCAGGTATTGCCCATAAGCCACAGAAATCCTGAACATCATTGCCAAAATCCTCACCTTTAAAACTGATTAAAATTGAACTCATCTCAGAAACTAGATTAAACAATGATACAGTTTGGGATTAAGGGCATTCAAGAAGAGGCTTCTGTATATCTCACATGAAATCCATGTATTTTTCTCTTAATATGTGCCACAAACTGGAAATAGGGAAAAAGGATAAAGTTCCTGTACTTAAAGAACCTAAAGTCTATGTTGTAATACTCATCTTCCATTCTAGCCTTTTCTACTTCTCTGTAAATTTTCTTCAATATTTTTACGAACTGGAAGAAGTCCTATTTCTGTAACTAGTATATGAGTTATCTTGAAATATGGGACCATATTGTGTATTTTCCTGGTCTCTATTAGTCTACTAGTAGAAGGGATTCTTTGTCAGAGTCTAGCTCACAGACACACATTGGCACATAACGGTACACATTGGTTTGACTTAGGATATGACACAAGACACAAGCCATGTCTAATCATTTTGCCAGGGTCAAACATTTTCAGTGTTCATTAAACATGCCCATTTCTTTCTACTCCCACTGAAAACACCCCAGTCTGTGTGACCTTCTTCTTTGGGCTATACCATAAATGTAACCTCCTAACTAAAATTAAGCTTTCTACCAATCCATTTCCCAAAGAAGAGCAAGAGTGATTATGTTTATTAGTTCTTTTTAGTCATACATAATATTGGGATTCATTGTGACATAATTATAAAAGCATAGAATATAAGTTGTTTAAATTCAATCCCCAGTACTTCCCTTTTCCCTTTCTTCCTCCCTCCTCCATCCCCTTCCCTCTATTTTACTGATCTTTCTGATAGGCTATGTAGCTCGCTGCTCCAGAAATATCTGGAGTAAAATTAGTAGGCAAATAGGTTTTTACCAAGCCAGCTTTGAAAGAAGATAAAAGAAACATTATGTCAAAAGTTCTATCTTCAAAATCTCTGAAGGTAAGCATATATTTAAAGGAGAAGAGACCGTGCAGTGAGACAAAAGACAGGAAATATAAGTATGTAACGTTAGTTATATTTATTAGTTATCCTGTGTTAGAAAGGCCTGTCAAGAAAACAATCTCTATTCCCAGCTCTCTTGGTGCCCATTAGGTCATGGAGGGGAGTCCCTAATTCTTAACATGAGGAAGTTTCTCTCAATTTCAGAAGTCCTGAACATTAAGTTGGTTTCAGTTACTTGATCAACCCTTTTAGGTTCTTTGAGAAGGCTCAATCCTAGTTATGTTTCCCTGAAGTGCCTACTTTGACCTCTTTGTCATTAATAGGAACATTTATATTTGGAAGACAAAATAAATGTAAATAGTCATCTTCTATTCACAATCCTTGGAACCAGGCAGATCTTAGTTTGAATTCTAGCTTCTGGGATTTGGTTTCCTAGTCTCTTAGTTGGGATTACTAATTGTACTTACCTTGTATGAGAAATAAGTGAGACTACACTCAATATATGTACATAATACATAGTGAATGCTCAAACTATGGTAGCTAGCAATAGATCTATCATCACTATTAGATGGAAATTGACAAGGCCATTGTACAAGACTCCCCTGACATTTTAATGCTCATGCAGGAGAATCAGAGCACATGGTTTCTTAAACTTCCAGAGATGAATGAATTCTTTGAAACCATTAAGTGCAAGCCTGTAATTATAAAGACAAGGAAAAGGTGAACCAGAGATAATGACTTCTCCAAAAGGAAGTATCCAATTATAGCCAAGTTTGAACTAGTTGAACTATATAGGAGCTGGACTACCAGTCATAGAATTTTAGAGCCAGGAAGAGCTTTAAAGTCAACTAATCCAACCATATTTCCTCATATCCACCCAACATATGAAGAAACTTAATCATACAGAGAAGAAACATGATCTTTTCAAAATATGCTTTGGATTTCCTTCATATTTGTCATCCACTGGTACAAGATGTACTCTTCTGTCCCAAACTACTCATGTTTCTCTTTCTCTTTGACCAGCCTGAGACCTCTCAGCAAGAACAAAGATTCCCTTCTGATGGAGACTGAGCTGGATATTTTGAAATACCATTCAGCCCCTGAGCTTGGACAAGAAGATCAGATGGAAGTATCTTCTCTCCTGCCACTGGATCCCACCCTTGAGTGCCACAGCCCACCTCCCGACTATAACTTTGTGCTTCACTACAGCACTCTACCCATGTAACTCACTAGCAGGATTGTTCCTTTGCTACTGTTTTTCACATCACTCCCTTTTCCTCCTAAAAGTCAATAATTCTTTTCATAGCTATGTCATTGTTACAATGCTACTAAATTTTCATGGAAGAAGTAAAAAAGAGAAAGTTCAAAAAATATTTATCTCTCACACTTTTGTGGGGCACAGCTGCACCAAGCTAGGCTACCAGACCTGATAACACACAATTACTTCCACTTCTATATCTTCTGCCATTAAGTATATATTAACTTACCCAGGTGTGGCTAGCCTCATTAGAAGCAGCCTCAGTAATTCTACATGTGCACCTCACCAATGTTTCCTATTATTCTTTAGTGAAGGTTACTTAAAGGACCAAATTCTAATCTCTCTTTAAAGACCTTAAGATTCTCCAATCAAAACATGGGTTACATTTTATTCAGACCTCATTGATTAACCTCCAACATGGGTTTAGTAGATGTTTATATGGGTATCTTTTTTTGTATGGTGCTGGGGATTGAACCCAGGGCCTTGTGCATGCAAGGCAAGCACTGTACCAACTGACCTATATCCCCAGCCCAGGGTATCTTTTCTTAATAATTAAAGCAGCCAAAACCTTCAGGGGTTTTTCATTGGATGAGTGTATTTAGGATACACTCTACAAATACAACAAGCTTATCAAATATGTTGTCTTCCAAGACCAGAAAACATGCAAACAGATTCCCTGGCCATTTACTAATGTGGATATCAAGAATACCATTACTTGAAATCCCAGGCAAATGTATAGGGTCCATAGCAACAAACAAAGTGTCTCACTTGAAAGCAATGAGGGAGATACTTTTCTTTTTCTGATGGCCCCTCCAGATTGCAGCTTTTCTTGGCAGATATGTCACTGGACTTGTGTCTATTAATCTTTGGGGTGTCCACTACAGCTTCAATTTCCTCCTCACATCTCCATGCATCACCCTATCAGGGGATTCCCACAGGCAATCCAAACCTACTGCAATTTGCCAGCCTCTTAGGTCTTCCTTTGAAATCTTGGTGGAAGCCTCCATGACCTCCTAATCTTGAAAATCCAGCATGTATGGTTGCTGCCAAGATCTGTCACCATCTTGAGCAGAGCCAAGCCTCCAAGGACTCTGGCTGCAGTAGTCTCTGAGTGCCTGGTTGGCTGAGAATGGTGAAAGAAGTTCCTAGGTACCCCTGTGCAAGTAGGGTGCTCCCACGGTCTTTTCTAAGGATATTTTACTTCAACATTCTTGAGCCTGAGATGGGTGTGGTCATACATATTCTTGAGAAGCCCTCATGCCATCTTTTTTTACTGTTTCTTGGCAAAGTCTAATCTTTAGTGTGCATAATGTCTTTAAAAACCACATCTTCCTTAGCCCCAGTTTTGCTCAGTTTTCTGGCCAAACTGCAATTTTTCAAATATTTCTTCTTTGTATTCTGCTTCTGATTTTCAAAATAAACTTGGCTACAAGTTTCCATTAATACACATGCATGCCACTGCCTGAATGCTATGCTGCCTAGAAATTTCTTCTGACAGATTATTTAGTCTATCATCTTTAAATTCAGCTTCACAGAAAGTCTCAGGACATGGAAAAAATGGAGAAAAATTCTTACCCAGAACATAAAACAAATTAACTCTAGTCCACTTTCCAATAGAGTCCTCCTCCTCTGAAATATCATAAACTCCATCTTTACTGTATGCAATCCTATGAGCATTCTGGTCTTCTGAACTTCCACCAGAATTTCCTTTTAGGGTATATTTACAACACTCTAAAGCTTTACCAGCTTGCATTGTTAAACATTTCAAAATTCATCTTATAAATTCCAAAAAGCTCCAAAACTTTTAAACTGCATGGTCAGGTTAGTCACATCAATGGCTCTACTTCTTGGTACCAACTTCTGTTTTAGTCAGCTTTTCCCCTGTGGTGACCAAAAATACCTGAAAAGAATAATATAAATGAGGAAAATATTATTTTGGAGATCATAGATTCAGAGTTCTTAGTCCATAGAAGTCTGACTCCATTCCTCAAAACCTAAGGTGAGGGAAAACATCATGGCAGAAATGAGTGGCAGAGGAAAGCAGTTGTACAAATAGCATCAGGAAGGAGAAGGGAGAAAGAGGGGGGGGAGGGAGGAGAAGAGGAGAAATACTCCATCATTCAGGGACAAAATACTCTACTCATGGCCCCAATGACCCACCTTCTCCATCCACACCCTACCTGCCTACAGATACCAGCCACTATCAGGGAATTAGTTCACTTATTGGTTTAAGACTGTCATACCAATCATTTCAGTTTTCAACCCTCTTGCTTTGTCTCACACATGAGTTTTGGGGGGACAGCTCATATTTAAACTATAATATTGATGCTATGTCATTCCCCTTTTGAAGCCAGTATGAAGTCATATCATGTCTAATTAGGCAGTGCCTCCTATATTCACCCTTGGTCATGCAACCACACCAGACTAAATAAGGAGTTCCTCCCTGGATTTGTTGGGGCATGGGAAATACTCACTGATTTTAGAGGTAGTCATCCTCTTGTCTCTCACTCTCATATCATCAAGAAAAAAAAAGAGGAACAAGCAACATTCCACATAAATCAGAACCTGGAAGACCCTTTTTCCTTCCTACTCCCAATTAGATAAAGAAAACTGACACTAAGATAAGGGAAGGAGCTTACATTCATGTCTCTTGACTACTGGCCCAATGCTGTTTCCACTATTTACATTGTCAAGCCATACAATATGTACACACACACACACACACACACACACACACACACACACTTGCTAATATGAATAATGATGGCCCTGAAGAAAACCCCAGAAATTTGGCTTTTTTCTCCTTTTTATCTAGCATTGCACCTAGAAAATATGACTTGCTCATAGAATTGGAGGTCTGGGCTTCTGCCACAACTATCCATTTTTTTCTGTGGTTGAGTTTAGAACTCAAGGGCTATCAAAACCAAATTTTAACTTGTGACTCAAGAACATTAGTGGCAAGAAAAACATTGAGAGACAGGATAGGTCCAGGTGCTGTCTACTAAAGAAATTTCCAAAAATACCCAGAGCCTCTTGGTTTAAGAATGCTCAAAGCCAGGATGTAAATGCAAGCTCTTTCCTATCTCCATTATTAACAATACTAGAATTATTTTCTACTTGACTCATAACAAGTAGGTTGAAGTATGTAATGTGATAACACTAGGCAACTCACCAGTAAAATTGCTCCTCATTTCTTTAGAATTTACCCATTAAATGGTTTCTGGAAATGATTTGAAATAGATTTGCCACTGATGTAGGAAGATTTCATGGGTTAAATGGAACAAGCTATCACTGGAAGTTGGTGATGAGGCTCCAAGTCTGGTTCCTTCCTCTTTTCCTGTAATTGCTGTGTACTCATGGCTCTAGAGATAGCAGGAAGTTTATCCTCATGTGGCCACCTACCTAGTAGATCTTCTGAATATTCCCTAATGTTCAACATCTTTTACAAGGGCTAGTTTTGGCTAACTAAACATTATGTAGTGAGTTCCCCAGGAACAGAACCCAATGTCATTATCATCACTGGGAGAAAGAGAATGAAGGGTGCCAAAAAACTCTTCAGTAATGCACATATCTATACTATCTAGTGTTTTCATAAAAGTTCATTTCATGATACATTCAGAAAGTGGATTCCCCTTTGTCAGAGGACATGCTTGTATTGCATTTGCCTCATAACATGTTCTCAGGACAGATAAATAATTAAAAACTTCAATATGACTGCATGAATCCCCAAAGATCATATTGACTTCTTCAGATAGTTTCAAATCCCTTGCACCCCCACCCCAACACAGGACTTCTGAATTTCATGATAAAATTATCATAGTTCCTTTCCATAAGATTTCATGATAGGATGCTTAGGCAACAAAAAATAGCAACAGTGCTCCAGGTTGGGAAAAGTTCTGTTATGCTCTAGGTCATTACACTCCACTGTTAGCTCTCTTTAACTCAAGACGATGCAAAGGGGAAGGGAAGAATGAATTGGCATTGACTTTGTGACTCATTTACTTACCTGAGAGATTGAGAGGGAACTTTTAAAGTTAAGAAAATCTAACTAGTCAACTTTATAAGGGATTTTTGCCCAACTCCAAGAAGTGTCTCCAGTTACCTGCATTTCTCTGATTTTGTTACAATCTTTCACTCAACAAGATGAACTTTTCTTTACCACATTCTGTAGTCTTTTTAATATCTATTTCTAGACTATAGGAGTAATAAGGCACTCTAGTAACACGTAACTCTCAAGATAAAAATTCTAAAACCTCCAGTATTCTCCTTAGAAATATAGCTGTGCAGCAGATTGATGATTTATTATTACAACTCCTGTGTAATTATACTTATCAGCAGACTTGTAACATACCTTTTATAGAACCACTCCCAGGAATCCATTTTACATGGCTTGATGAAGTGCTTTGTCTATGCCCTGTACCTGACAGTTCCACAAACACTCATTAACTCCCAGAGATCTTCTGACAGCAATATATTTTCATATCAAATAGGAGTTTACTTCAGAGATGGACCAGTTCTCATAAGGTGTGCTAATATTACCCTGGTATGTTCACTACTAGTCAGGCCAGACTTTGTTTATGTAATCCCTCCACTCCCCACAGAAAAATATAGTTATATCAGGGATCCTCCCACCTGCTCCATATATCTCTGATCTAATCTCTTGGCAGATAGCTGAAGAGAGTTATTAAAGTAAATTATCATGTCTTTTGCTTCTGGTTGCATAAAATGTGCCTGTAACCAAGATGGCAGTGACAACAGCAACTACAAGAATATTGCAGATTGACTCTGCCACTAAGTGGCCAACACAAGACTCCAGGTCAGTGGACATGGAACTCCTCGACTGTCTCAAATAAATGTTCACTGTGATATTCTTCCTCTTCGGACTATTGGTCAAAAATGTCCATAAATTGCTGGATGCCATCAAAACTTACTAGTATTAATTACCCCCTATGAATATAATACCATTCTGAAGGGACACAATCATTCCCTTTTAGTAAAAGAAAACTATTTGCCCTTGCGAAAGGGTAAGCTCAGATGAAAAAAGACTTTTAGCACGGTTTCGCCTTTTAACCCATACTTTAAGAATAGCAATTTTTCAGTTTTCTGAAAAAGGAAAATAGAAAGTTTTTCCACAGATTAATGATAAAAAACACATTGAGCAAAAGATGGGAAGATGACCCTGGATAAACAAATGATGAAAGTCAGTGTAGAGCAAGCCAGTACTCAACAAATTCCCAGCCCTTCTAAATAATCCTTCCACTTGAGATGTTGCACCATAATTCCTATAGTATTCTTTCTTTTCAGTTCTTCATATCCCTTGGCTAAAAATACTACAGTAAAAAAAATAAAGAAGAGAAAAGAAAATAAAAGGAAAAAGAAAGCATTCTAGCTAACTCCAACCTCAAATTTTAGAAACAAAAAGCAAGTCCTTTATAACATAGAGCTATTGCTTAGCTTGTCCCTCAACTATCTAAGGGATATACCCAACTGAAGAAAGCACTTCCCTCATAAGTTGTGTCTTATTATGTAATCAAAATCGTATTGTATATTTCATTTTCAATAAAAACTTCATATATATTTCACCCAGAACTATTGTCACCCTACTTTTATTTGGTACTCAATATGTTTCTGAAAACTTGTACTGCTGTCACTTCTGAACATCTTTCCTTCCCCTGTCTTTTATGTGGGGGATAATTTTATAAATATAAAAATTACTAAATGGGAATTGACTTTCTAGAAAACTACATGTCTCCATTATGTAAAAAATGCACAGAATAAAACAAGTGGGATAACTGGTTTACAATCTGGCTTGGAACCACCTATACGGTAGTACTCTTTGTCAATAGGAAGGAGCTCTTAGAATCATTTATGTCCACCAAGTGGTAGGGTACCTGGGAATCTGGGTCAACTGTTTGCCTGTTTCTCTTATACTGGGTTACAATGCACTGAGGTGACCAATTTAAGGGATCATATTTTGAAGATAAGCTGAATGCAGAAGATTCTGAGAATGCCCTAATAAGGCCAAGAAGAAGAATGTGAGCAGAAACACAATGTGATACATGATAAAAAAAAACAGAAAATAAAAGATTTTAAGCAGAATTATAAACAACAATGTGGAAAAAATATTTTAATTGTCACAAGATGGTGAGACATTGGTAGAAGAATGTACTAGATGGCATTACCTGGAATTTTGCATCTCTATATATCTGTCTTCTAAGGAATCATCGGACAAAGAACTTAACTTGGGAGGAGTCATCAAATCTACAACATTATCCTTGAATATTTGAATTACTGCACTGAGAAATAAATGTTTACTGAGTCACTTTGTACCTAGCACTGTATTGGAAACTAGGGAGAAAAATAAAAGTAAGTATTATATTTGTTTTACTTTTCCCAAACATCATACTTTAACTTTGGGATAGAAAATGATTAAAAGAAGGTCTCTGTCTCAAAGAGCTTAAATATTCTTTTCTTTTTTTTGCCTTTATTTTTTTAATTGGTTGTTCAAAACATTACAAAGCTTTTGACATATTTCATACATTAGATTCAAGTGGGTTATGAACTCCCAAATAAAAGAGATTTGTAAAGATAGAATTACTTTTATTTAATGTACAGTTTCATACTCTGCTGAGGATCAGGAATGCTCACATATTGCAAGTGTGTAAGGAATATGTTGATGCAACCATTAGTAAAAATAATTAATTAAGAGGAAGATTTGGATCCTCTCAACATAGCAATTGTTTTATGTGTATATACATACATATATAGACAGATCATGATAATTTGAAACTAATTAATCTGATAACAAAAATCTCAACAACATATATAAAAGTTTTATTTGACTGAGTTGTGGGTACATAGTTATTAAATTTCTTTTTAGGCCTATTCATCTGAAATGTTCCACAGATTTTTAAGAAGGAAAAAAGTAGCTCCTTGAGTTGTAAAGTGGAAGGTCAGAGAGCATCCTAGGTAAGGGGACATTTGAATTAGGTGCACAATGAAGAAAAGACATTAATCATATGGGACAGAAGTTTGGGATGTGACAAAAAGTTGGGATGTGAGTGTACTTTAGGCAGAAAAAACAAACATAAAACAGCATAAACAAAAGCAAATGTTTCTATTATTGTGTAATATTCTATATCATAGGACCAACTATTGTCCACACAAAGTCATAAAACAAAATTAACATTGTGAACTCCTTGAGGGCAAGGAAGACTGGCTAAAAAAATGTGACAGATAAACTCATGGGGTGACCATTTGTGTGACATGCACCATACTACAAATAGAAAAACAGAATTAAGCCACAGGAAGGCATTAGTTCCAAGGCAATAGAGTAAGGGATAAATGAGGGCATATGGGTCTGAAAGGCCTTAGCCATAGAGACAAATAGAGAAAGCCTGATGGAGTTCTTTTAGAGATTTTATGAGTTAATACAATTGATTGATTGAAACATTCCCAGAGCAGCACCAATATCACTAGGTTATTATTATGATTACATGAAATCATATAGATGTGTCCAGTGCATAATAAGTATTGAAAATTATAATTATTTTTATTTTCTTACTCAACTTGGGGTGCAGGTTTAAGCCATTTCACAGAAGTAGTGTGAGGTATGAAAATGACACTTGTGAACTGTAAAGCCAATATGCACAAAATATTAAGAGAACATTCTAAGCACCATCCTGTTGTTTTTCCTGAACCTGCAGAATTGTTGCCACCAAACAATATAAACTCCCTCCCCAGAGTGGCTGGTAAGAAAGCTAAATGGAACTCAGTGCATGACAGTTGATTACAGGGAATTAATCTCTCTATTTTATGCAGACATTCCCAACATAACCACCACTTTAGACAAACTCAGCATGAAATTGGAAATATATCATGGTGTATTAGATCTTGCTAGTGCATTTTTTAGGATAAATATGACCCCTGAGAGACATGAACAATTTTCCTTCACTTGGCAAGACCAACAATAGATGTATATGGTGTTACCTCAAGGTAGCACCACCCTATGACATGATATGGTAGTGTAAAATTTAGAAACCTGTTGGCAACCTTCACTAACAAAAATGTCTCATTATATTGTTGACATTATCCTCACATCTGAATCTTTTTCAGCACTTACTGAGACTGCACACAATATTTTGATTCATTTGCAAGGGAGATGATGGGTTTTGAGTGCTGAAAAATTTTAGAGACCTGACTTACCAGTGAAATTCTTGAGTGCAATCTGGTTATGTAAGAAAAAGTTTATTCTTTAGGCTATGATAGATAAGTTGAGGTATTTCCATTTCCTAGTACAGAAAATAAATATAAGAATTTAGGGGGTTACTGAGTTATTGGAGGGCTTTCTTTCTTCATCTGGCTCAGTAATATTATAACCCCTATCTAATTTTTGTAAGAAGGGTACAGTATGGGGCTGGACTGAACAGAATACTGAGGAATTTAATCTAAACAAATGAACAGTAAAACAACTCAAGAACATTGGGCACTAGACTTATTGAAACCTGCTAAGCTTATCATCCAAAGCACTTCAGATAGGTTTGAACATAAGACCCCCATTGGATTTGGGTTGCAGTAATGGAAGGGGAAAGTGGACCATTACAACTTGTTGGAAATACAACTGTATGCTACTTATGCTGCCCTTATTGCCTAAGAAAATCTCACCAGAGATGCACCAGTGAAAGAAGTGACTACCTATGTCATCAGTGGATACAACAAATAGGTCCTATGATCAAGGATGGCTCTGATGGCAAGCACTATATAATGGATAAACATTTTCAACAGTGAAGAATAAAAAACACTTCAAATGTAAGCTTAATATGTCAACAGTTCCTGGGACCATTACATATGTAGCAAAACACACATCTTTTCCTCCCTTCACTTTAAGAGAGAGGCAACCTCCAACAACATAATCAGGTTAGCACACTGAAGAACCAGTAAAAAGAGTGCCCTCAGTGTAGAGAGCTGTAGCCTATCAATCATCTAGTGACTAAGACTGTGAATTGACAAAGGACAAGGATACAACACTCAATGGACTTAATTTTGTGTGGTATGAACAGTTTTTGCTCACTGAATTGGGCTATAATTTATTTGTACTGATGAATTCAGAGCATGGCTTCTCAAATGGCAACAACAATAGCGTATGATTAATAACAGGCCTCTATGGTAAAAACAGGTATGGGAAGACATTTGGCATTGTGTACAAACCAAAGTTGTCATAATCTATAACGTGATTGCCCATTGCCCTCTCCGTTTTCCAAACAATGATGGGGCTGACCAACTTGCAAAAATAAAATTGCTTGAGGAAGCACCAGCAAAAGAAATTGCCACTTGGCCACATTGTAGATTAAAGAATGCAGGTCTAAAGAATATGTGGACAGCTTTGACATGCTGGGAACTCCCATAAAGATGTTTGATGCTATTGACTATCAGGCCTGCTCTCAGTGCTACCCACAATTACTGGATGCAACTGAGGGGCATATCAAATGAGGTGACATCCCTCTTCAGCAATGGCAATTAGACTACATTTTCCCCCTACCATTTTCAAAAGGGGCCAAAAATGCATTGAGTTCTAGGGATACAATTAAAGACTTGATGTAAGTATTCTCCAGGAGTTACCTGGGAACTCATTTCAAAGACCATAATATATCCCACAGTGGGCTCAAAGCCCAGGCATATTATGAATTTTCTACCTGCCATACAATCCAAAAGGAAGTGGCATAATTGAAACAATAGCCTTATTTAAAAAAAATCTCACTGTGTCCCACACAGCAAATGAGTCAGATTAAGTAAATTAAAGGTTATAAGAAATAAAAGAAATAAAGACACTCAATTATAAGTGAATAGCAGGACTCAGTGGGCAGATCAGGCCTGATGGCTTTGACCTCTAACAAAGAGTGAGGGCCCACATGCTTTATTTTATAGGCAAGAACATCAAAGGTATTTATTGTGAGAAAAAACTTCTTCAAGATAAACAAAAGTGAGGCTGTGGGAAAATAGCCTAATTGGTAGCTTATCAACTTGCACCATATTTCTTTCTCCTCTAAGCACATAGGTTCTATATTTCTTCTACTTTCAGCAAGCACCTCAGCAGGTCTTGGCTCTACCTGGAGGTGTGACCCACACCTTAGTTCCTGAACAGGCCAAATAAGAGAGTTAAATGAGGATGTTATGGGAATCACCACCCCTACATTCATCAAGTCTTGATGGTGGCACTAATCTCTGTAATTCCTCCAGGGATATGGTATTGCTGTACATTCACTATTTTCTCAGGGATAGACATCTCCAGAGGCTTTCATTTAGCCTTTATCGCCATAATAGCCTTCACTCTACAGGTTAGATAACCAATGTGGGAGTTTTGTCAAGTGCTAAGTATATCTAGCCTGATTACACATTACAGGATTGGGGAAATAACTATATGATGAGTTAGGGGGCCCACTGGACCCACTGTAAGTCAGACATTGGCCAAAATTCCATTGCTCACCTAACCTCTATAAGCCCCTACTTTTACTGGAGGGCTATGACAAGATTTTGTGTCTCCCAAAATCAATGTCAATTTAGAACATTGTATCTTTATCTAGT